TTATATCATTAAATTAGTTAATATATATAAAATTATGGGTTTTAAAAAAATAAAAAAAATTAATTATTAAATAATATAAATTTTATCTTCTAATATTATAAATGACGTAACTTATATCATATCATTAATTTAAATTTTAGATTCAAATTTTAATTTTATTTATCATTATTCATTTTTAAGAGTGCAAAACGTAACATCTAAAATTCTTGCCGCTTGTTCCGCCAATGAGTATGGTGTTAAAACCTTCTCTTGATTTTTTAATGATAAATAATAAATTAAAATATATTACTCACTTTATTTTGAAATAATTATTATTATTTGATTTTAATTTTTTTAAATTAATTATTTTGTTATTTTTTAAAATAAACAAATATTTTAACTTAAGTTAATCGCGAATTAAAACTTTAAAATAGGTGAAAGGAAATTAAGAAAAGTCCCCCACTCATGCATGCTTGCAATAAGAAATTCGAATTTTTCAGGCTAAGAAAATGAACTAATTACAAAGAGATTTGTGAAAAAGAAAACATCAACAGGGCATTTTATCAGTCTCCCCAACTAAATCAACAATGAGAGCAAAAAACAATTGAATCTCTCAGCGGCCGGTTTAGCATACCAAAGAAGAAAATATCAATAAATTTATAGGTAGAACCATCCTAAATTAAGATTGATCAAATAATTAAACTCATCACAGAAGGCAAGGAAAAGCAATAAAAACTATCTAACTGCTTGTCCTGTTGAAGGTGAACTTGATCAGTTTGTGTTTCTCTTGATTCTCTTCTTCTTTTCCTTCTTATTTCATCTCTTATTGTAGTGGGGACTTCCTCCAAGTTCTCCCACAAAGCTTTATAAGCACTAATGGAATGTTCTTAAACAAACTTCCCACTTTTTGTTGTACAAAAAAGTGCAATAATTTGAGACTCAAAATATCAAGACATTTTTATTTTTATTTTTTTAAATTTTAATTAGTATATTTTTGCAATAAAAGAAGACAGTAAAAACTTAGAGTTGCAGTATAATACAGTCTAACACATTACAATATAATATTCTATAATTTTACAATAAAAAAGGCAAAAAAAAAAATCTTATAATTATAATGTAGCCTAAATGAACATTTCCTCACCTTGGATATTAGGGGTGTGGTTATGGTCATTAATACATTTGTAAAGCTATCAAAATTGTTTTTTTTTATTTTATTTTGAGTTGTACAATAAAAGATAACTCTCTTATCCCTTAATTCATCTCACTTTCATGTTATACAATTTGAATTTAAGATATTTTATTTTTATATAAAGGAGATTATCACTGAGTTAATTAAACCATTAAACATCAAAATTGTATTCTATTTGACTGATAATTATAGTTTTTTTTAAAAAATGGTTATAGCATTTGAAAATATCAATTTATAAATTGATTTTAATTTATTAAGTCATAAATATCCATTGTTCTATTAATTATTAACT